TTTGAGAATGGGGGGGGGGGCGGGGGGAGGAGGCCGGGAAAAGTAAATAGACAATCCCAAAAATTCCGGACTCAAAATCTTAATAAAGGTTTTTTTCCCCCTTTTCCGAGTATTCAGTACCTTGAGTAGCTTACCAAAAAAAAAAAAAAAACAGATTGATGCAAGTTATTTTTCCTTTCTGCCATCCATTTAAACACATAGCCTCCTGAGAGTGTTTTAACTTTAAAGAAGAGCAGGAGAGAAAGAGAATATTTCAGAATGGAATTATGCACAAAGTCTAGTTCAGGGGTATAAAATTAGAAGCCCCCAAAGCCTTCAGAAAGCAGCCTCAGAAATGCTGCTAAATTATAATTTTATCATGACAGAAAGCAGACAGTATCAAATACATGGAGAATAAGCATGTTAATTGTATTTAATGTATTAGACTCAGCCATGAAAGCCCACCAGAGAACATGACTTTGAGCCAGTCGTCTCATGGGGTTGTTGTTGTGGGAGGAAATTGGAAGGGGAAGTGTTATTTATTTATACCACCTTGAATTTCTGGAGGAAAAGCAAGATATAAATCTAATGAATAAAATAAATGTAATTATATATTACTTAATTATGCATTAGATCTAATTTAATATTTCCCCTAAGTTTTAGTTTTTCGAGGTTAGCCTCCAGGCACACTAACTGAAAGCCAAGTATGTGTCTCTCAACCTGAAGCACACAGCACACTCTGCTACCAATTAAGGATGCTATATCCCTTTTCAGTGCTCTGGTGAGCTTGAAAAACGATGCTGCAGCTTAAGAGTTGCTTTAAATGAGTCAATTCCTTAAAGCAGCTGTATCTTTTTTCAGGTTCACCTGGAAGCACCTGCTTTAATAATTAGCAGAGAATTGCTCTCATGAACTCCAGAACAATTCTGAATCATTATCCAGGCATATATAGCTCTACAGCCGTGTTGTAACTGGTGGACTACCAAAGAAATCATTCTCAGTAGTTTGACAATTATGTTAGGATATATTTGGTACTAAGAGGAGGGGAAAAAGCAGTCTGCATTCTATAAAATAAGGATCTTGTTTCCAATCTGAGCTGAGCTGAGAATGATGAAGAATTAGACTTCTTAAATATATGAGAAGAAAAATTTATGATCCCCAAGAATGGCCTTCTTGTTTGATTTGACAATTACGCTGTTCTGTGTAGAACCTGCATCTTCTTCATGAACGTATATGGGACATGATTTGTGTTCTTCCATTCACAGGCTGACAACTCGCTCTGAAACTTAATGATGCAGTCATACTTGGCAGTAGTTCTGGCGCTGCATGTCTGAAAAGCAGCCAAATGCCATTACTCCATAGCTTTGGCCCTTTGGTTTGCTCCGCTCTTATGTACAACTTCATTAGCCAGCTTCCAAATGAAATGCACTCCAAGGCACATACTAAAAGGACTCTATAGACAGTGGTTTGCATCAGGAGAAAAAAAAGGATAGATAGCCAATGTAGATTATGTGAAAGAATATTTGTTTACTATTAAACCCTGCTTATGGAAGGACATCGATGTCATTTAAAATATGCAAAACTTTTGACAATGCATTCATTACAACTCTATGATGTAAAACAATACTCCTGTGTCTGGAGAAATTGGCTGTATAGTTCATAAAAATTATATATTAAGGAGGAAGCGTTAAGGTGCCAAAAGACTGTTGCTTTGTTCCAACAGATAACACAGCTCCACCTCTAGAAACAGTGTATCATTCTTACAAATGTGCATAAACAAAATTGTAGTTTCTGAAAAACCATCACTTTCCCCAACAATATAAAGGGAAACTAATACTGAGATTATCCCAATTTATTTTTTATTTTGCTATTATAAATAATAAATGCAGACATGGTATAAAATATATCCAATTCTCATTTCCTGAAGAGAAATGCATATTAGCCTAATGTAGTCCTAAAAATCAAAAAGCCATTAAAAAGAATTAAACATGAATTATACTCTGCACTCCCATCCCACTGACTACTTACAAGCCAATTGCAACAGATAGCCTGGCCTGTTTCAGTGTAACTTACATTTGGGGCCCCATGAACACCTCAGTACAAAAGCCCTTTGCTACCTTCCTTTGACAGCGCTTTGTTTATCTGCCTGCATTACACAATGCCCAGTAACTAAATTACTGAGATGATACTCTTCTGTGTGACAACAAGATAATTTACTCACAGATGAAAGACATTATGAGGAAAATGGGTCTTTA